TCTGATTTCATTTTTTCCAGATCCCCTTTTGTTGCCAGTTCATTGGGTCCAGGTGGTTGAGTATCTGAGTGTTCCATCTCATTTCCCTTTGGGGTTGCTGTAGGTGATCTGGAAGTCTGGTTTTGACTTATTTACTTGTTTTCTCATTTCAACTGGGGTGGGGGCTGTTGGTGCCTGCACGGATTACCTCCTCTGAGCTGGGAGAGGTGGGACAGGGGCCGGGAGCAGCGGTAGGAATGGTGGCCCAAAAGCCCTATCCTCTGGGCTGGGAGCAGCGGGAGGGATGGTGGCTGGGAAGCCCCTTCATCTGGACCAGAAGCAGTGGGACAGTGGTTCAGAAGCCCCTACCTCTGGGCCAAGAGCAGCAGGACTCAGTACCATGGTCTGGTGGTCTGGTGTTCTCTGCGTCTTTGTAGTGTGGAACCAGGTGGCTGTACAGAGGAGCGGGGGTGGGGGTCCAGTGGATTGTTGCTGGGGTGCCGGCTGATTCTGTGTGTTCCCCACGACTTGGGACCTAGGTAGGGCATGTGCAGACCTGCCTGTCTGCAGCGGGCTGATTTGGCATCTTCTGTGGGACTCGGGACCTCGGTAGGTGGTCAGGCTCATGTCATTTCTATTTCTTTAGCTTCGGTATACCATTGTCTTTTTTTTTTTTGGTACCGGGGATTGAACTTAGGTCCTTGTGCTTGCACAGCAGGCGGTGAAACCACTGAGCTAAATCCCAGGCCCGGTATACCATTGTCTTTAATTTTGTGCTTAATGGAAATATGATCCCAGCATGAGGTCACCTTCTTCTAAGGGTTTCATACACTTAAAGGAAAAGTATTAGATCACTAGTCTTTTGCTAGAATTACAAAGTCTCAGTCCCCCTTTTCCTTTATGTCCTTTTTGCCCTGAGTACCAAGAGTAAGTTATCTATAGCCCTTGGCCCCAGCTATGCGTGGTGCTTGAGGAACAGCAGTCAGAATATGTGTATAGGACTATTACTCACTTTGCTTTAGAGATGAATTTGTAAGTATCATTCCAGTAAGCCAGGAGATCCGTTGCTTCTTCATCATATACCCGGATGTTATGATACTCAAAGACTCCTGGGAAGAAGTTATCTATCTCTCGAGTGACATTCAAGATATACCGCACCCTGTGAGGAAACCAAGGGAGAATGTATACTACCCATGATAAATCCAATTCCCAGCAGTTTTTCTTATTTAAAACATGTTTACTTCATAGGCTGAAATTAAATACAAAAATAATGAAAAAAGCTGAAAAACTAAGAGGCTGTTTAGTAAAGAAATTATTTGAAGGGTTCTGGATTTGTCCTGACATGATGGAGTTACTGAGCAAACTATCTGCCAAGTTTAACATCTAAATTTGTTTCTTTTCTTCTTTTTTTGGCTGTTCTATGGATCAAAGTGAGGGGCACTCTGCCACTGAAGTACATCTCTAGTTCTGAGACAGGGTTGCACTGTGTTGCCCAGGCTGGCCTTAAACTCATGATCCTCCCTCAGCCCCCAGGTAGCTAATATTACAGGCATGCACCACCACTCCTGGCTTAAATTCCATTTTCAGTTTTGCATAGTTACACAATCTTTTTTTTTTTTTTTTTGAGACAGGGACTCACTATGTAGTTCATGCTGGCCTTGAACTCACTATATAGTCCAGGCTGGCCTCATAATCAGGGTGATCCTCCTGCCTCAGCCTCCTGAGCGCTGGGATTATGGGCATGCTCTACCATACCCAACACAATCATATTTTTGGAAGTCTTTTCATATGGGCTTGTGTTTTTCTCCAAAGAATCAACTTAAGATTCCTAACATAATTTGTGTCACAAAATTACCAAAATATTAATTTTCTGTGGAAATTAATTGTATAAAATTAGACTATTGACATGTACCCCAAGAAAAACAGAAAAGAAAAAATTTCTATTTTTCTAAATGCTAAATTGTTAGAAATTGCTCTGTTACTCTCTAAAATAATGAAAGGCAAATGAGGCCTGGGTTGGGAGGGTCAGAGGAAACTTGGACTTTAAACTCCTTTAACTCAGTCTGGTTGCATTCTTGGCTGCTATGGCAGAGGGTGTGCCTGAGAGTTCTCACATACTGAACTGCACACAGAAATGGGTTTATCAAAAATTTGTTCTATTATCTCTCACTGTACCATCTCAATAAGTGCCTTAGTTTAATTAGCCAAAGGTTATCTTTTTTCAGTGTTATATAGACCTAGACATCACTGGAGTTTATTCCAACAATAGGATATGAAATAGATTCTGAAGAAGCTGTTTCCTTCTCAGAACCAAATGTGGGGCTTGATGAACTGAATCTTGGAAATAAAAGAAGTAACTATGAAAAGAGAAAAATATGGTTAAGGCCATATGGTCAAATGTGGTTAAGGCCAAATGGCCAAAATATTTCTGGGACATGAATCAAATCTGTTTTAACTTAGTATCAAAGCTCATTACTAAAAAGTTGTTTTGTTTTTTTTTTAAATTTAAAAAGCAAGCAAATGACTCCTTTTTTGGGTACCAGGAATCAAACTCAGGGCCTCTCACTTGCCTGGCAGGTGCTGTACTGCTGAGCTACATCCCCGGCCCAAGCAAATGACTCTTAAAAAGGAGATTGAAGGGCTGGAATTTAGCTCAGTGGTGCCGCTACCTGCCTCGCAAGTGCAAGGTCCAGAGTTTGATCCAAGGTACAAAAAAAAAAAAAAAGGAAATCAAAGAAGGCATCAAAAAATGAAAAGATAGTCCCTGTTCCTAGATAGGCAGAACCTAAATTGTCAAAATGGCCATACTTCCAAAACTGATAAACAGATTTAATGCAATTCGGATCAAAATACCAAGAACATTCCTCATAGAGTTGGAGAAAACAATCCTAAAAATGATATGGAATCAGAAGAGATCCACAATAGCAAAAGCAATTCTGGACAACAAGAGCAAAGTAGGAGGCATCAAAAGCCCACACTTCAAGTTATACTACAAAGTTACAGTGAAAAAACTGGCACAGTATTGGCAAAAATAAAAGGGCGGGGGGGAAATGTGGATCAGTGGAACAGAATAGAGGATACAAAAACAACTCCAGGCATATTCAGCTACCCAATCTTTGACAAAGTGGCCAAAAACATATGCCAGAGGAGAGACAGCCTCTTTAACAAATGGTACTGGAAAAACTGACTATCCACATGCAGAAGTTTGAATCCAGACCCATAAGTCTCACCATGTACTCAAATCAAAATGGATCAAAGACCTAAATGTTGAAACAGAAACAACACATTGGAGGTAAGATAAGTACAACTCTTGAAGACATAGGCATAGGCAAGGATTTTTAAAAATAGAACCCTGGTTTCACAAGAAATAATACCAAGAATCAACAAATGAGATCACATCAAATTAAAAAGCTTCTCCACATCAAAGGAAATGATCAACAGAGTGAAGAGACAAGTGGGAAAACATTTTGCCAGTTATTTCTTGGACAGAGGACTAACATCTAGAAACCAAAAATAATTAAGCCCCTCAAATAAAAGACCCAATTGTGGGCCGGGGATTTAGCTCAGTGGTGCCAATGCCTGGCTCACAAGCACAAGGTCGTGAGTTTGATCCCTGGTACAAAAAATAAAAACAAAAACAAAAACAAACGCAAAAAGGGCCCAATCCAAAAACGGGCAACTGAAATGAACAGATTCTTAAGTACAAATAGCCAATAAATACATGAAAAAATGTTCAACATCTCTGGCCATTAAGGAAAGGCAGATTAAAGTGACACTGATATTCCATCTTACTCAAGAATGGTTATCATCAAGAAGTCAAATAATAACAAATGTTGGAGAGGCTGCAACGAAAAAGGAACCCTTATACATTGTTGGTGGGAATGTAAACTAGTACAGCCATTAAGGAAATCAGTATGGAGACTCCTTAAAAAACTAAAACCTTGCCTTGCAAGAACAAGGTCCTGAGTTCCATCCCTGGTACCAAAACCAAAACAAACAAACAAAGAAACAAACAAACAAAAAAACTAAAACCAGTTTTAAAATATTCTTTTTATAATTTTCAGGGCTTATTTATTTATTTAGAGGCAGGGTCTTGCTATGCAGTTCAGGCTGGCCTTGAACTCACAGTGATCCTCCTGCTTCAGCCTCCTGAGTGCTGGGATTTCAGGCATGCATCATTGTGCCTGGCCTAAAACTAGTTTTGACCCAGCTATTCCCCTTCTAGATATAGTATCTTCCGGAAAGAGTTGAAGACATACTTGAATACTCATGTTTGCCCCAGCACAATTCACAATAGCTAAATCTTAGAAGCGGCCTATATGTCCATCAATAGATGAATGGATAAAGATGGTACTGCTGGGCATGATAGTGCATGCCTGTAATCCCAGGACTTGGGAGCTGAGGCAGGAGGATCGCTGTGAGTTCCAGGCCAGCCTTGAATACATAAGTGAGTTCAAGGCCAGCCTGAACCACATAGCAAAACCCTGTCTCATCCCCCCCCCCCGAAAAAAGTGGTATTTATACACAATGGAGTACTATTCTGTCATAGGTTGAGTCATTTGTAGGAAAATGAATGCACCTTGAAACTATAGTGTTAAGTAAAATAAATCAGACATACAAGCTCACATGTGGCATACATAAAGAACAAAATAAAAGACAGATAATAGGAAATAGGGAGATCTTCAAATAGGAAGGGAATCAAGAGATAGAGGGAAGGGGGAAGGAGGGGTAGGGAATAAAAAAAGAATTAAGATTATGTACATGTACCAACTCCTCACAAAGAATGTGAATATTATGTACTACAAACATGTACTAATAAAAATAAAAATGGGAAAAAAAGCGCAAGGATATGGTAGGAATACAAAATGGTGCAACTGCTATGGTAAATAGTTTTGCAGTTCCCCCTAAAATGAAACAGTTAATGTATGGCCCAGTAATTCCTCTCTTAAGTATAAACATATAAGGAATGAAAACATTAAGTCCACCCCAAAACTCATATACAAATACAGCACCATTACTCACAATAGTCAAAAAAGTAGCTATTTGTCAGTTGATGGATATAAGTAAGTTTTAGGGATTGGGGAAGGAAGGGAAATGGGAGCTGAATGCTAAAGGGCACAAGCTTTCCTTTTGGGGGAAAAAAATGTTCTAAATTGGTTGTGGGAATGGTTGAACAACTCTGAAAAATTTACTAAAAACTACTGAATTGTACATTTTAAATGGGTGAATTATCTGGTATGTGAATTACATTTCAATAAAACCTTTAGAAAAAGAATAAGCACATCTCTCTTATTGAAAATAAAATGCCCAGGGCTGGGTATTTAGCTCAGTGGTTCTGCTGCCTGTCTTGCAAGCGCAAGGACCCGAGTTTAATCCTTGGTACCAAAAGAAAAGAAAAGAAAAGAAAAGAAAAGAAAACCCCCACCTGCACTTGTATATTTCAGTAACATTCAGTAATGGATTCTGGCACTATCTCTCCAGAGGCAGGACAAAGCTTCTCCATTCTTTTCACTACAGAGTTGTAGCCAATTGGCACTGGCACTCAGATTTTTTTGCTATCTTAGCAGTAACTCTTTATGGAGAAGTACTTTACTTGGGGTTATGTTCTAAAGTGAGCAGACTGGGTAGAAATCTGCTTGAAAAACAGTTGAAAAACCCATGGTAGTACATAAGTTTTGTATATAGACCCATGAAATGTGATTCTTCACACATTAAAGCTTAAGAACCACTGAATTTAAAAAAACAAGACCTAAGTACATGTCAGGGCATCCAACCATTCTTTTAAAACAAATACAGTTCTATTTTCTAAATTAGTCTCACAAAATGTAAATGATGGTGTGCTACTACACAGTAGGGTGACTATAGATAACAATAATGTACTATGTAGTTCAAAAAGCTACAAGAAAGACTTTTGAAAGCTTTCATCATAAAGAAATGATAGATCTTCAAAGAGACAAATATGTTTAACTTGATTCAAACATTACACAATGTATGCATGCACTGAAACATTATATGGTACCTCATTAATGTATACAATTTATGCTTTTATGTATCAGTTAACAAACAAAAAAGTTTAAAAAAAAAGTATATGAGACAGGTGGGTCTCATCTCCAGGTATGGCTATGTTTTAAAGTCATACTATCATATAGCCTATTATAT